TTTTATGAAATACGTTGCTTCCAAAAAAGCACGAAATATGAAAGTCCAAGTAATTTCCTGCTCAAATGAGCATTGAGGCAGTGCTCACCTGAGCCCTGAGAGCCAGAGGAAGAAAGTCCAGATTTATATAGCCGGGGAAAGTATTCTCCATCGGACAACCGCTTGTAATGGTCAGAAAGAGTGGTACTCATTCTAACCCATGAAGCATGACAGGCCGAGTTCAACCAGGATTTGTGAAACTAAACGACAAACTATTTTTATTTTACCAGGTAAGACCCACTGAGCTATGTAGATCTTTTTTCAGAAGCGACCTGGCCACAAATGATAGCTAAACTTAAGTGGCTTATCATCATGTGGAAATGTATAGCAGCCCAATACTCTAAACGCACGTTGATTCTAAATGTGGAGGGAAAAACCAGAGGACCTGGAGAAAAATCCACGCAACCACGAAGAGAGAGACAGAGACTTAAACTACAAATATACAAGCGTTAGGGTCGGGATCGAACCCACAATCTCCTGCATACCAGACGAGGTAGTTAACATCTCGCAAGATTCTAATCGCAAGCTTCTTGCTGTACCGCAGTGCCACCTGTCAATTTATTTTCATTTTGATTTTTAAAAATGCACAGCCCTTCCAGAATATTGTTTCCCCAACAGTATTTGCTCAAAAAAGATCATCTTGAGACTATACTTTCCTTTTGTCAAGTCCCATCAGCACTGTGTGGCATGATTAGCCAATGCTGCCCAGGAAACCTGATGCTACAAGATATTAGTCACTACAAAAAAAATAACCGCATCAATCTTTGCACAAATCGTTTTTTTTTTTAAATCAAAATAAGCCAATTTTTGTCAGCGGGCAGCTACGCACATGCCACAGGAAACGTCTGAGCATACGAAGGACTGCAAAGACCGTGCAAGCATTTGACACTTTGATCACCTCTTTGCCCTCTCATGCCCTCTTTGTTTCAAACAACGAGCGACACCCCCCACCCCAAGGTGGCCTTGCTTGCCTTTTCACCCCTTCAAGACGCAAAAAAAGTTTTAGTTTTTATAAAGTTACTGCATCGTGAAATGGGGGACGAGCAAATGAAAAATCCGCTCATCAACATTTTGGCCGCTCAACTTTAGAGCATTTAATTATATATTTACCAGCAACAACAACAACAACACAAAAAAGATTTGCGGTGCTCAATGATGGGGCCCTGCGTGTGCGGTGTGGCACGAGAACGACGCATCGCTCGTTACGGGTCGCGTCCCCGAGACAACAGCACTACTCTTTAGGAGCAATCTGTAAGGGGGCTTAACAGACGGACCCTGTTACAGGATAGCCGCCACCCTCATCATCAATACCATCATCATCATCATTACCATCATCATCATTATCATCAACATTTCAACGTTAGGAATGCATACCTAATTTAAAATCAGTCTGAAACACTGAAAAAACGAGGAGATGAACGTCTTATGCAGACACAAACTCCCCGTGTAAATGATTTTTTTTTCTAATTGGGTAAAGCAAGAGTCGGTAAGCTTGAGCACAGATTCACGGTTGCGAAGACGCACTTTCTGACTTCGTGAATACATTGCAAACAAATTTTGAAAGTTCCACGATGAAAGATTCTCAAAACGATTAAAATCAGTAAATCGACGTGACCACTTAAATTCATTAAAAAAATTGACACAAGGGTGAAATGGGAATCAACAGTAACAAAACTGTGCACATGAGAGATGGGGTGACACAGCAACAAATTCAAATGGCGGAGATCTTAAAGGGCACTCATGGTAAAGGAACAGTTGTTTCGGATTATTGTTGAATATTGGCATAAGCCACTGTATGCAATCATTGCTGGAAAATCTACAATGACACGCTGCTATTTCAGATTTAAATTTAAGTTTCAAAGCAACTTTCTTGCCGACAGTTCGGCACTTGTTTCAATGTTGATGTGTCAGGGCAGCAGACGGCTGTGGCTATAACGTGTTGCTTCAAGGAGGTATCTGAAAGCAATTTTGCAAAATGAAACATTGGCACCCATCCAGCCTCTCACTTAACACGACAAAGCAAAGGCTTTACTGGTTTGTTATAAATTGCATCCACGTATAAACTAATCAGTCATCAAACTGTGCTTGTTTCTTGTTGGCAGGATCATTATTACAGTATTACATAGTTCAACTTGCAATTGATGACAATTCCCTACCGATTTGATCAAGATTTCAGTCAAGATTACGAAGGCATGCGTGTATAAGGCACCCTATTCAAACATTCATTAAGAGTACTTTGTTATCAGCCATTTAAATTGAGTTCACAAAAAAGCTACAGAGGCTCCGCATTGTGTGTGGATTTGCCGCTGTTGGCAGCCCTCGCTCGCTTGTTCTTCTCAAGTCATCAACTGCCGTCCGCGTAATTTTCCCACAAACCCGCCGCCCATATCGTTGTCGTCGCTTTCTGCCAAACTCTGAAGATACATACGGCCACCACCCGTTTATGTCTCCGCCAATTTGGCAACAACCAAAAAAAAACCACGGACTGCAGCATCGCGATGGGAAATGACAAACAAACGGCCGACAACGCGAGCCAATTTCACGCGCTCGCCGTGTGTGCCACGACGAGAATCGCCACGTGAAATATTACAACCAACGTTCAAACGTACGGAGGAGAGACTTGCCACCCACGGTGTACGAACGTGGAACTGCAACTAATGGGTGAGCGCAGTCAAAAGAGATGAACACTGTTACACACTGGTTTCGATTTAAAGCTTTCGTGACTGCAGGAATTAATCTTCTTGGTTCTTTCGGTAAAGTCACGTAGAAGGGAAGTAATAAAATTATAAAAATAAAACATAATAAAATAATTCTCACGACGTTTCGGCCACAACGCAAGCAGCCGTCCTCAGGTGACACGTGTCATTTAGACTCTGTCTTATCGACAGACATGTTCTTCACCTGAGGACGGCTGCTTGCGTTGTGGCCGAAACGTCGTGAGAATTATTATTATTTTTTTTTAATTATTTTATTACTTCCCTTCTACGTGACTTTACCGAAAGAACCAAGAAGATGTTACACACTCGTTTCAACAGGCGCGCACCGTGACTTGACATCAAGCTTGCACGCTTATAACAGGTGCCAATTAATATTTTTGTGGAAATTTTCCAGGTCTCCCTTGAAAAAGAACGTTGGTTTCAATGGGCTCTTATCTGGTAGGATACATTACAATTTGGATTTATAAAGTGACGCAATGCAGCCACATTTCAATACGCTGTACAACATAGTACTACGGACAGAAAATAATGTATTGGTTATTTTTAGACCAATTGCTGCAGTGTGGATGGTACAACCACAGCCCGAGCCACATTGGAGTCACTAGTTATTCTCAAAGGAGAAAGTGCTATTAGAAAAATACAAATTTAACTCCCTCGGTCAACTCAGCCACTAATGAGTAAGTGGGTGGGCAAGTCAACCTCAGTGCTGGGGAGACATAGGTGACCAAGCATATCAACGATGACACCAGCCCTTTATGTCATGTGGCCTTAATAGGTAGACAATGACAATAGCACATGGCCTTCAGGGTGATACGTTTATTGATACCCCACTAAAATAATCTAGAGAAATTCTAGACAAAGCAACATTTCATTTCAAAGCCTCTACACATCTCCCATTCATCTCAACATAGTGAATACATCTGCTAACACTCGCCTCTGTACGATATACGGGGGGCGCTTACTTTCACCACATTCAATCACCTATTCAGCAGAACGTGTGAGTGCCATTAGAAATCATTGGGGTACATTTGAATAGATGGCCGTGTATAATGAGTCCTTGACTACATTTTCAATTAAACTGAAATAAGGTGGGTTTCTGTGCAAGAGGGCAGACATGGGGGTGACATTCGTTCATGTGATCACATGGGCTGTTTGCACGAAGCAAGCGTGCTGTCACGTGGGATGCTGGGGGTGCGCGTGTCTGTACGTGCATGTGACGCGCAGATAACGCAGAGGGACAAAGAGTGTTCAAATGACAGATGTGTGTTCTTGTCTGTAATAAATGTTTGTCTTTGTGACTGCCAACAGAACATAAGGCAATTGAATGGACATTTTTCTCTACTCCCTACAGGGTAAATATTTACGTTTTCAATAAGGGCTGCAATGCCCTAATCGCCACGTCAAAGATCATATTAAATTCGGAACATCTGTGTCCTAGATACAAAAGAGGAAATAAATGAATGTCTCAAAACAGGGCATCCCTTAAATGTATACCACGTGTTTGTAAGACAGCGGACACAAAAAGGCCATCCCAATGTATCAAGTAAATTAGTAAACCTTTGTCATCTGTAAATATTTAAAGATTTTCTTGAATTGCGTGTTTACTTAAAGAAGCGCTGAGTCCACAAACACCAATTCTCGGTGTACATACAAACAACGTGTAGAACACGACAGCCACGTTAAACAAGACGTTTCACGTTGAAAGACGTTCCGCATTGAAAGGTTCGTGTAAACAAACGGTGTGTTATGCCAGGTGGACGTTTTAGCCACGTTGTACCCAGCAGCAAACTTTGGGTTTAATGAAATGGCAAAGCAGAACATGACAACAACAGAGACTTGACTAAATATTACGACACATTAAGATGGAGCAGACCATATATTAAAATCACATTGGAGTAGACAATGCAGACTCCGGCATAGAAGGCATCATTATGTCGTGGAAACTAAAATAATGGTAAATATTATAACAATAACAAAGTGACAAAAAGACTTGCCACCTTCATCGTGAACACTGCTTTGTGTTTTAGAATTCCTTTTTTGTGTAGTTTGTCGTCCTCGCCCACACCTCCGATTAGTAGAGTTGGCTGGGTACGGTGCGAAAAAGTTCAACATAAATACAGAAAAGTAGTTTTATTAGACCATTTTTTGACGAATGACTGTGTTTTAGTGATCAAGGTGGTGTGAATCGTTTCGATGCATGCACGGGACCGTTTCGCTTTGCTCCCGACCATCGCCAAGACTCACTGTTGATGTGGTCGACATAGTAGACGCCAACTTGGGGATCGTAGGCCTGCTCCCAGCCGTACGGCAGCTCATCCCCGATGCAGTCGGCAAACGACAGCGGCTTGGTCAGCCTGCGAGCGCACGGCGCACAACGGGAGGGCAGCAACAGCAGCGGCGCACAGGTGAGCGGAACTCGTAGGAGCAAGCGCAGGGGCATCATCGCAGACATCGCTTTGACGCGAAGTAAAAGTCAGTTGGCTTGTAGAGGACGCCGTAGCAAGAGGGGATGATGACGGTGGTCACAATTAACGGCTCGGAGTGGCGGACAAAAACAGGAACGCGCCAGCGTACGTCCACTGCGCAGATGGGAGCGATGAAATCAGTGGAGGTGCTTATCTTATTGATTTATATAGCACCTTTACCAAGGCGCTTAATAAAGAATGATCCAGTTTGACAGCAGAAGTGTGATTAGTTGAGTTGATGAGAAGTATGGTGGTACATGAATATAATGATGCGTGCAATAAACGACGATGAAAGTGACAATGAGCGGCTAGTGATGAGCGAGTGTGATGAAGGGGTCGGGAATATTGGAAAGGCGATGATGGTGTTCATGATTGGAGAGTGAAGCTGACTGTTCGACATGTAGGGGCAGTTTGTTCCAGAGTAAGGAGGCCAGAAGTGAAAAAGATAACAATAGAATAGTGTATTCTTGGTTCTTTCGGTAAAGTCATGTAGAAGGGAAATAATAAAATAATATAAATATAAAACAATAAAATTCTCACGACGTTTCGACTGCAACACAAGCAATCATCATCAGGTGTGAAATCCACAGAAAGAAAATTTTAAATAAAAAAATAGAATAGTGATTGGGCACAAGGAGAAGGGGGAACACACAGCTGCTCGCTAGATTGTCACATCATCGGAGAGTGAGAGATGGTTGACGATTGCTTGGGGCGAGGGGGGAGTCCTTCATCCACGAAGGGGATGATTGATCATGGCTGACGATGATGATAACGAAAGAAGTATCCATAAGCAGGGCAAGCAGACGGGTATTTTAAAAGTGCTCTGCGTATTTTGTTTTAATTCACTTTGTTTACTCAAGAAAGCCTTGCCGAGTCTCATGACTCCGTTTTCAGGAGGGTCCTGCAGTTTTCGCAGTAGGGGGCAACGTTGCAATGAGTAAACTCAGTTGAGCAATTTACAGGTACGGTAGTTATTTTTTAATTGGGATTTTTTGGCAAAACCCAGTCACATCGTATGTTTTTGTTAAGCTATAGGAGGAAACGAGACATCTAGAGAGAAACCACAGAGAACAGGAGAACACACAAACTCCACGCAGGAGCGCGCCCAAGTACGGACTTGAACCCAGGCCCCTTCTGGCTCCGGGTGCACAAGCATAGCCCATGCATCACACTGCTGCTCAGCAGGAAGTATTAACTGGTAAGTGCAGAGATTGTTTTTTATTGGATGTTATTGAAAAGCATTACTCACGTATAACACAATGTGTTAGAAATCATAACATCAGCAGTAGGGCCGATGAGGGCCCGTTGGTGTTTTGGTTGTCAGAAATGGAGATGCATGTACTCTTTGAAATGCAGTCATAGATTTAAAAGTTGGAATCGTCATTGCACAGAATGGATGTCATTTCTCGTTGCACATGGTACACCACACCGAGGGTTCAGACGGATAACAAGCCACGATCTGCTGCGCCAAACTAGAATCCAGCAGTAATCGGACTTTTATAATCAGCACAAAAAGTTAGGCGCATTCCAAAAAGGCTGGTTTTCAACGTCCAAATACCAACTTTTTCGTTGTTGTAAAAGCAAAACACCAGGCAGGAGGAGGAGGAGAAGAAAACCTCGCAAACCCCTTCGAACGTTTCTGGCGTCTCTCAGCATAACAACATTTTTTTCTTTAAAGAGACGTGGGGAGGGGGGGGGGCAGGAGAGGAAAAAATAAGCAGGGACCTCAGCAGCAGCAGCGGCAGCAGCGCGCTCAAGTGTGGCGAATGTCGTGGCAACTGTTGGGCAGAGCGGCGAGCACCCGGCTCGCCCCTCCAGACGACCACGACGCTAGGAGACGCAGCAGCCATTCATTCCGCATTCCTGGATCGCAAAATCTGTGCAGCCCACACGATGTCGTAAACAGCCAGGCAGGCACCCACAGCAGCCACCCGTCCACCCCCACCACCACAGCGGCGGTGATGGCCCAACACCCCCCAGCTCAACAGTCAGCTCCAACCCCCCCCAACTCCTGCCTCCTCCTCCCCTAGTTAATCACTAAACCGTGTGGAATGCACCCCCCCCCCCAAGTTTAAACTACCCACCAAGAATTACACACTAAACAAAACCCGCTCCCCGCCTCTCCCCCCCCCCTCCCTTCAGCGATGGTATGCCCGATTTGTAAATCAGAGAACGCGTGGGTCCCAGCTGAAAATGTATTTGGTGGCAGAAACGTCTGTGATGTTGAGGTGGTTGTGATCACCGATAGTGGTTATGGCTGCAGAGTGGGTGGGGGACAGGGCTCGTGCCCAGTTAGCAGCAGACACGCAAAGATGGTGGCAGGAGACACACAAAGATGATGGCAGAGACACACAAAGATGATAGCAGAGACACACAAAGATGTTGGCAGGAGACACACAAAGATGATGGCAAAGACACACAACGTTGATGGCAGGGGACACACAAAGATGATGCCCGGGTGCCACAAAGGTAGAGGTCGCTAAGGTGACTTCGACTTCTTGGTTCTTTCGGTAAAGTCACGTAGAAGGGAAATAATAAAATAATAAAAATAAAACATTATCAAATAATCTCACGACGTTTCGGCCACAACACAAGCAGCCGTCCTCAGGTGAAGAAAGAGCTGTCGGAAAGACAGCGTGACAAGGAGTAGTTTATTCTTCTATTTTATAAAACATTACGATAAGGCCAAGGTCTCGGACATCCTCCAGAATACTTTTTAGCAATTGCAAAAAAAGGAAAACATACAATCTACATGTAAAAAGACTCTTCAATAAAAAATGTTTTTGCACGAATGCTACCTTCCAAGTGGTATGGTATAAACTTCGGATATCCTCCAGATTTTGGGATTAATTTTAATAAAGAAGACACTAATTCTTAGACGGTGGAAACAACCAAGCTCTGTGTCACTCGAAATCCACGTAAAAGAGGTGAGGGCCTTGAAGGGTCTGAAAAGTAGCGTAGATCGAATGCTGTGCAGCAGGATTGCTTTCCAACCTCGTGTCTCCACAAACCTACAAAAAAAAACAAAACCCAATCGCTATGAGACGTAACACACATTCTAGATTTGAAGTTTTCGTGACTGTAGGTAAAAATAGTATTTTATTTTATTTTTTACCTACGTGACTTTACCGAAAAAACCAAAGAGTACGTAACACACAGCTTACCAATTGCAAAACGACGCAGATGTGTATGGTTATGGTGGGCCAAATTGGAAATGCGGGTACAGATAAATGGGGAATTTTAAAAAGTTTACATTTTTTTAAGTGTAACGTTCCGGCTTCCTACGCCGCACGCGCAGTATGCGTGCGTCAGAACGCGTGTACAGGGTGTTTTCTTGCGCGTCTCACAGCCGCGGTGCGAGACACAAATCAAGCACAGTGAAGTGACACCCACACTTACGGCTCTGGCTTTCTGTCCGTTTGCACTCGTGTCCTCTAAACGCGCGTTCGTATGTACGTGCAAGCGCGTGGGGAGCGGTGGTGCAGCGGTTAGCGCGCTGCACTACGGACCTGGCGAACAGAGTTCGACAACTTCCGCCCACGGCCAACATCAGTGATGGTAATCTGAGCTAGTACTGGGCCTCCTCTAGATCGACTCAGCCTCAATTGAGTACCTGGTACATTGCCTATATATCACCACTAGGAAACAAAGACGGCCGGGCATGGTGCTGGCCACCCACCCCTCGTGTGCCGTGCCAGCCTTCACAGGTGCCCACTAACAGCACTTGCCTCCAAATTCTGTTATGGCTATATGGGGGATCTTTGTACGTGTGTGTGCTTGTTTTAGTACACAAAAGGTGTCGTGCTGAAGTGATTACAGTATTGTACCACGAACCCTAACGACCTAAGTTTTATTCTCAAACACAGCTGACATCAGTAGTGGGAAACGCCTAGGTCAACTCAGCTTTAGGCGAGTACCTGGTACGGTGTGTAAACATCAGCACTGGGGAGACAAAGGCGGCCAGTGGTGGTGTATGCCACACCACCTCCTGCTTGTGTGCCGTGCTGGCCTTAATGGATGTTGATTAACATTACCTGCCCCGACAGTTTAGTCGGCTTTGGCTTGGACAGGAAACATCAACAGAAGGGATGACAGTCAGCAGGAGGTCAAGACGAACCACGCACACAGCGGCAGCCCAAGGAAGAACATGCCCAGGAGGATGGCCATCGTGAATTATTACGTAATGAATTCAACCCGCTAAGATGGATTGTTACATCACAGGACTGTGGGAGATGGCGACAATTTGGGAAGTTATTTTAATCATCCAGCGATCGATAAATTACGGCTGTTGTGCAAATCAACTTTACTTGAGATGGCATTCCGCGGAATGTTTCACAATATTATTACACGTCGAGGACATATCCTATGATTGCCCCTAACCAGTCGAGGCCTCCTTTCATGGACGGGCCCTAACAACTTGTTATTTCCTCTTGTGTCTGTAAAACCCTACGACACTAAATCACCCAGCAGCAGCAGCAGCACTAAATCCAAGTGGGAAATATGGTCAAGGTCCACCATTGTCAGCCTCTGCGCAAAAAAAAAACAATAGAGTATTTTAATTATTTCGCGGCTACAAACACGTGGATAAGAAAACAAGCGATAAGCCCCCAAGAATGAAAATTGCTGCCATGCGATTTACCATTGCCCACGGGCTCCCCCAAGCTGCACTACTCAGAGGCGTCGTTCTCACAGCGGCCACAGCAACGTGGACGACTCATTGTAAAGTCGACCACAACATCCGTGATGAAATGAACAGTTTGGATTTAAAGCTTTCGTGACTGCAGGGATTCATCTTCTTGGTTCTTTCGGTAAAGTCACGTAGAAGGGAAATAATAAAATAATAATAACAGCGTCTGAACAACTGTCTTTCCGACAGACCTGTTCTTCAC